TATATATATATATATATATATATATATATATATATATACATATATACACGAGTTTAATTATACTCATTTCTTATGTGATTTATGATATATATATATAATATATGTAGGGTGCACACTGTAGCATCTTTGGTACCAGAGTTTGAGCGAAACTAAACAAATCCTGCACGCTGCGGATCGTTCGTGTGTGTGGCTTACGATGCGCTCAATGAAATGTAGAACACATGATAATATCACTGTATCGTGCATGAGAATAAGAGTAGAAAGCAACATATTGATCGATTGTACGAGCATAAAATTGATTTTGTCTCTCTATGTTAAAGCGTTCATATGCGTAATGAAGTATATGTGTAAAATAAATTACTGCCTCCAAACATTCAAGTCTCTGATATTGTGCGCTTCCCGTGAAATTATACTGTCTCTGGTATACAATAATACTCCTCTGTGCTAGAAATATTATATTTCCACTACATGGTACACGGTATACAATGATCGGTGTAAAGATAAATGCAAATTGCGAGTAATTAAGAGACAAGAATGCAACTGTGCCAAGAGCAGTTTACACAAAACAATCGCTATTGGTTGATGCAACAACTACAAAATATAAACATGACTGCCATTTTAAATTCTGTTAATTATATAAAATCTCAATCGATGATAAAATTATACAAGGCTAGCAAAAGCCGGTTGCAGGATGATTGGATTACTAAAGATACAATAAATAAATGTAACTCGAGAGACGTACATCTTTTATTTCGTGTCATTTGCTCTCTATCTGCCGTGTAACCGATTTGTCCAATTGCAATTAATTATATTTCATACATTGGTCTTTTTAACTGCACTAATGCAATGGTACGATAAGTCGAAGTGAGAAAACATATATTTATCTCACTTCAACTTATTGCACCATAGTTCGTGTTAATTTTCAAAAACGCTTCTCATATTGTATATATATTTCGAATTCTGGGGAGCACTCTCTGAGTTGGTACAATTGCATCCGCGATAAGGCGCTTCCGTGCGCGGAAGCGCCGCTAAATGATGCAGGAGCGATGCTACCGCGCAGCCGGTTCGCGCAGAACGTTCATATCAAAGTCGAACGATGTATCGATACGCGTGCTATTCGATCGGAACGATAAGCGGGAATGTTCAGAGTGTTGCCCCAGGGCATTTCGGGATGCGAGAAAGTGCAAAAGCTGACTTTATGACTGACGTCGGGGCGTAAGGTCTAGCAGATTGAGCGACGGCGGCCTCGTTTTTTCCAACTGCACTCTTTAACTGCGCTTTCTACACCTTTCGCGAGCGCGACTAATTGGGATGGCCGTGACACTTGTCAAACACACAAATGACAACGCGACATTTCACAGCGACGCCAATCATCGCCTTCTGACGCTTTCGTGACACTCATTATCGTGAGTACATAATTATTAACACGATTACACGAGGCTCCCGAGCCCCATCGTCGAGGAAGAACACCACGGTGTCCGTGAGCAGCGTTTCATTTGTTTTCCCGACTTTCCTCGAGGACGCGGAAGAGCGACGCCCGATGCAGACGGTGGTCGCGAGCGGCGGCGCGCGGGAACTCTTTGAATTGTGAACGAGTTTTCTCGTGTACGCGCTGCGCGGGGCGGTCTCGAGGCGGCACGATGACTTTTGCCGTGGCGCATGCGATCCACGGCTCGGCCCGCGCTCTCGCGCTCGCTGCTCCGGCCGTCGTGCTGCACGTACGTACATACAACGTACGTATATACGTGCGTATACCTGTCATGGATTCCGAGGATCGACCGCGGCCGCGGGCACGCGTGATCGCGCGATTTCCTGCGTGAGAGCCACGCATTATCGCATCGCGACGCGAGGTGATCGCTCGGCGCCAGGGTGTTCCCCGACGAGGTAGCGCGAGGAACGTCGTTGTTGGACAAGATCGCCGCCCCCGCCGCCACTGTCTCGTCGTCGTCATCGTCGTTGCCGTCGTCGTCGATCATGAACATCGCGGTGTCGTCGCGCGGATCAAGGTGTTACTGCCGCCGTCGTCGCCGTCGCTGCCCTCGCCGCTGGTGAACGCGGACGCGTCGCCGAGACGCCGTTCCTGTCCGCCGCTCTGGCCGGGACGTCGACGTCGCGCGCGCACCGGGAAGCCTGTCGAAATGAGCAGCCACCACGACGACGGGCCTTCTGTTCTCGTCCGGAGCGAGGATCCCGTAAGTATCGCCCTTTCCCTGTGCCCGACGGCACGGCTGCCGTCGCGGCGCCGCGAGCCCGCCGCCCGCCGCGCCTTGTCGACGCTGCTGGCGGCCGTCGAGCGACGTCTCGTTTCGAGCGATCGAGAATACCCACTGCGCGCCTCGGGAGGTCATCTAGAGCGGTTTCGCGGTGAATACGGGAGAATAGAGAAATAAAAATAGAGTCCGCGTGAACGCGCGCGCGCGTGAAATAGAAGTGACGAGCGTTCCGTCGTCCTCGTTGCCGCCGTCGTCGTCGTCGTCGTCGTCGTCGTGCTTTCGTTCGGCCGCGTGGTGGTCTCTCGCTCCGAGCGCAAACAGTTTTATGGGTGCCGCTATTTTTAGCGCATACCGTGAACCCGCCGCCGATCGTAAGGGAAGAATCTCGCGTTTGGTTCGCGCGTACGGTCACACGTGCGCCCGGATCACCGTCGTCGTCGTCGTCGCCGTGCGCGGATTTGAAGCAGACGCGCGGGTAACGCGCGATGGACACGTTCCTCGTCGTCTCGGGGACTTTTGGCGGGAAGTTCGACGGACCGTCCAACGCGAGCTTCGCTCCGCAGCGCGGCAGATCCGCACGATCCTGAGCGGCCCGTGCGAACGTCCTCGGCTCGCTCGAGACGGTGTTCGCGTCCGACTAGGTATTGCGATTTGAAGTCCGTACTTGCTGTCGGATGAAGCTTCTATTGTTACGAGCCGTCGGTGTTTTTATTCACTGCTGATTGTTACGTCAGTAGATACTTGCTATCGCAGAGTATTGTACTGTTTTGTTATCATAAAATTTACATGTCATACAGTTTACACGAATGTTCACAGTCACTGTTGTTAGCTTTACGTATTATTCAGGCGCGGAATAGAAGCGAGAAGTGTCCGACGAGCGCTCTCCGTGAGCTTATCAAACGCATCCGCAATTAAAGTTCGCGCGAGCTCGCTTTAATCGCGCTCGCGATTGGGATCGCGCGAATCGAAGAGGCGGTGTGCAGTTGGCGGTCGCGTCGGTACACGGGGCACGATGGCCGGTATTACGCGAGTTTCACGTGATCGCGATGGGGTTTGGTGTTTCGCGAGCGAGCACGCCGGCCTCTCCGAAAGATAATTCCCGCTGGAAAAACCGGAGTCACGTACGAGTTCTGGAGGCGTCGCGTGTGTGCCCGATACCTTATCGCTGGCGTAATTTCGGTGAGTTTAATTATTGAGAGTGTAGATACGCGGCAGAACGTGCTTTGCGTCGCGTTGTCGCTCCTATAAGGGCGGATCTCTCTGTCGTGGAAATTAATAAAACCTGAAAGAGAGGGAGAGAGAGAAAGAGAGAGTGGCTTTCGGCCCGTCCGTTTGCGGGGGATAATTTTCCGCGGCAATGTTTGGCAATTTTCTTTCGAGATTATATACCTTATGTATCCCGGGGGACTGTGGGGGAAGAGACGCAATCTCTTTCTAACAGCTCTTTGCTTTGCGCCGAAAAATGATTATCGCCATATTTCGAAAGAGTCTCACCTCGTTCCGGTTCCGAATATACGTACGTCATTGTTATCGTGGCGGTGCGATTAATTTATTGAGTCTATCTCTTTGCCGCTCCGCTAATTTCTTATCTCGACGAGAAAAGAGAAAGAGAGAGAAGGAGGAGGGGAAGGAAGAACAGCTCGAGACAATTCAGAGATTAATTTCCTTAGTCTAGAATTGTCCTCGCCTCGCGTCACGCAAACGTCACAGGCGTTAACGCACGACATACACGATGTAATCGCCCGTAACGACATCCGCGTTGTAAATCCATCCCTTAAGGGCTCGGGGTGAGACCCTTCGTCACTTCTGCGCGGCGCGGTGGATAATATTTTCAGAACACAAGGTTAATCCCAGGTTTTACTGCCCTGACTTATTGAAGCGAGCGTTCTTCCCTCGCGTGAGAGTCTCCCGGGTCGATGTGGGGAGTGAAATGGAAGTGGTGAAAACGAGGAACGAATCGCGTCTATTGGTAGAAATTCACATCGGCGTTCGCGCGATCGGTTAATCATTAATTACGCGCGTCGCCCGCCGTTCGTGTTTGCGCGAAAGAGAGAAGCGAGTTTCGAAGCGTCGACGATAATATCGACGCGATATCAACGTGATATATCAATGTACACTGTTTACGTGTACATACCAGTAAGAGAGAGAGAGAGAGAGGGAGGGGGGAGCGGGCCTCGTTATCTGGACGAGCTCATTCGTAATCAGCTGTTATCAAGAGTGACAAGCCACGCGTTTCCTGCCGCCTGGGATTCTGACGGCCCGTTCGAAAACGATAGTAACTACCTGCATAACTAGGACCGTGCTTGAGAACATCAGTTTAGAGTGCATCGCAGTTCCGCTAACTGTTTGGAAACTGACATTCACTCTCGAATACGACTGACACGCTGAGACTGATGCGCGCTTATTGATTGCAGCACACGGAGTTACCGAGTTTTCGGCTGTCTCACAACAACACCGAAATATCTCCCTGACGAGCCTTTATAGACCGTGCAATTTCCAACAGGAAACATAACGTAATAATTTTTCTAAAAATAATGTGGCTGACCGCTTCCATAAAATAATTAAACAGTTGCCAATGTCAATCACACTAACACTAGAAATAAAAGTAATTGATATGTGCGCTATTAAAAAAATAGAGAGAGAGAGAGAGAGAGAGAGAGAGAGAGAAAAGACAACAACAATGAATAGGAAGAATTTTAAATACTGCGAGAAAAACGTCACGAAGTTATTAGAAATTACTA